TTTATTTCGTCAATACAAGTAAAATGTTTTTATATATCATTCAAATCGAACGTTCGGTTCTCTCAAAAACTGAATAACTGTGTTTTGGCACCTTTTGCTCCGTACCTTCGAAACGGCTGGACCTGTCTTTGTCAAAAACTAATCAGCACGTCTTGTTATCAATAGGAATCGACAAGTCGTTTTTTGAACCATTTAAATCGGTTGATCTGTGTTATCGAAATCGTCAAAGAAAAATTATATCCGCGCATACATACACACACACACACATACATCCATTTTTTTAAGATATACCAAAATGTTCAGAAACCTTTGAAACGTATGAAATGTTTAAAACGTTTGAAAGATATATAAACATTTTCATTTTCGATTTTTTGCGATCACTATAAATTACCCTACGAGAAGTTAAGAAAGTAAACTAAGTTAAAGAAAGCAGTTTTATAAGAGATAAATTAAATAAATTATTATTTCATTTCTGTTGATGAATATTTCTGACGAAATACCAGATCTAGATTATTAACAGCGTTATCTTTGTAAAAAATACACCCATGAAATTTATATTTTGCATTGGTTTAATAATGTAGCGGACTAAGCCCTGCTTTATCTTATGTTATCTCAGACTACGAAATCTATTATTATACAAAGATTCATCAAAATCGTCCAAAAAAATTAGGCCGATATTCACCAAAACTAATCAACGCGATTTCCAAACAATATATTTCACACAGTTTTTGAATATTTAAAAACGATTTAAGATTGTGGCCTAAAACGTGGTCGAAAAATTTCACACTTTTCTGCAAATATTAAAGAAAGGGTTTGACCGTCGTCGCGCAAAACTGAACAACGATAGTGCTTATCGAGATACATCAAATGGCTTTTAAATTTTGGTATTTTGGATCAGTCTAGCTCATCTAGTCGAGAAAACATCGACGAAAAGGTAAAAATTCAGCTCACATACACACACACACACATACTTTTTCAAATTTGATCTCATTCGATGACTTGAAACATCGAGGAAACATGAAATTAGCGAATCGGATTTTTTTCGAAAAATTCTTCTTTCGGAGATTAAAAAGAATTGGAACCAATTCGGCAAAATAAATATTAATTTATTAATTATTAATAATAAACCGCGGGTTGGTCATTGCGTATGCAAACTGCCGCGTGCCTCAGAGGAGACAGCCGAGTCTTACGTAGCTACACTTACGTTGTCTCCTCAGGGAGACATCCGAGTGGAAAGGGTTAGAATAGTCGCAAACTGAATAATTGCCACCCCGCATTTTTTTTACAATCGCCTAATAAAATATTTAGACTGATCTTTATTTGGAAATCTGGTATCAAATGATGCAGTTTTTAAAACTTCAAGCTTCACTTATATAGGCATAAGGTGCTGATAATTCCAGATATAGGTAAGCATTCTTCAATTAATTATTCTTTCCAATGTAAATAAGATTATAGACATATGTTATCATTCAAGCAGTTTGAACTAACAATATAAATAAAGTCTGCTATTTGCTCAATATCATTTTACAATAGTAATTGATTTCAACTGAATCTGATAAAAATCTTAATTTTAGTTTTCTTTACTGTTGAATGTAGCCACAATTAGTAAGAACAATAATATGTTTTAATATTTATTGTTTTTTTTATTTGAGATGAATTTGTGTCTGTTTGAGGTGAATACAGTGTGTGTATGTGTGTTTGTGTGTATGCGTGTGTGTGCGGATACAAAACACCGATCAACCGATTTGAATAATTCAAAAATCATTCGATTCGTATTGATAAGAAGACGTGCTGATTAGTTTTTGGCGAAGGCAGGTCCAACCGTTCCGAAGATACGGGGAAAAAAATGACAAAAACGGTAACTCTATTTTAAAGAGAACGGAGCGTTAAATTTTAATAATTCAAAAAACATTTTACTTGTATTGGCAAAATGAACAACTGAATTAATTTTTGGGAAGGCAGGTTCAGCGGTTATGGACTCTCAATAAAAATGTCATTTGGCGGTCAAAACTGTTTATTCGGCATATGTACATCAAACTATCAGATATTTTATAGAAATTTTAATAATTTGTACACATTTTGTGTAATTTTTTTTGAGTTCCGTACCAAGATTTTCAATTACGGTACGGAAAATTCTAGCAATTTGCCTTAAGGGACGATGCCATGCATCCCACACTTTTATTTGTTCCGTACCAAGATTTATACCGTAGACTGCAACGCGGCGCTTCGATATTTCATATCTAAAACAGCTACGCAGCTCAATTGCTTTGAAAACAAAAATCTAAATTTTCAAAAAATGTAAAATATAAATATCAATTTCAAAAGTGTCCAAGTTTTAGAAAAATTTCAAAATTCTCAAAAATATTATATTTTCAACGTTTTCAAAAAAATTTAAAGTTTCTAAGAATTTTAAATTATGGTCCGGAAAGTTCCAGTAATTTATCTTAGGGCACGATGCCAGGCACCACTAGTTAATTTTTCAATTTCGAAGCATTATATTTAAATAAACGGACTGATTTTTAAATGTCATTATCGGCTTCAGACTCAAGCAAGGACTAAATTTGCCGCGAGAGGCGCTAGTGTAGCTTTTAGAAAAACATACCTCCTTGACTTTTATCTATGCTTCAAGATAGTCTACGCATGATTAATGTTTATGTGAACAAACGTCAGTGCGTCTGTGTTTTTAATCAAATGCATATCAAAACTCGCTTGGATATAATTCCCTAATGAAAGATATTGTAATAAGAAAGTTATTACGAAAAATATACAAATGGTGTTGAAAAGGCCATTAAATTCTATATGGACAAAAAACTATACGCATAATTATTATAAAAATGTTTGACAGCGATGAGGAATGCGACGAGGGAAGTGGGCTTAACCTAACATTTTTCTTGTTTGGAAATGTTGATAAATTTGGGCGATTAGATGACGATTTCTTTGATACTGAACTTAAAAACAATTTATCTTTGCTTAATAGGTATGAATGTACCCATACCGTATTAGTTGTTGTTTAATTTTAATATTAAATTATACAGATTTTACAATTTTGGTTATTTGCATGAAGTTTTTCTTACATACTTTGTAGTTATGTATATTTTATTCATTATAATTTATTCATAAAACACATTATTAAATATCGCTTTTAATCTAATGTTTTAAATTTTACCTCTAAAATATTTCAAGTTACTAGTGATTGCTATCAAAAGTGAAAAATGTTTTTTTTGTCAACATTATTGCTGAGACTGTTTTTTTAACCCCTTCCCGTGCCTCGACGTGTCTGGCTTGTGATAAAAATATTGGCTCAAAAATAAATATGATTAGCCAGGCTTGTGAATAGAAGGTGGGACCAAACATAAACATAACGAGTCAGATTCGTCAAACTGAAAAGCCAGTTTTTATTATTACACCGTAATTTTAAATATATACCCATGCATGGAATTTAAAATAGATATACTATATCTGAGGTATTTAAGATTTATTAGCGTCTAATTCTTGGCCTAAGTTTCATAGAGCTAAATGGCACGGGAAGTGGTTAATAAACTATATTTTGATTTGAATCATATGAAAAAGATAATTTTTAATTATTCATAAGTTATTAAACATTATTTATTTCATTGTGTACATTGATCTACATACAAGATGTAAATAATTGAACATGGTGAACACATTTCTAATTTTCCTTCTTGCTATTTTCAAATTATATTATTTCTGTGATAATAAAATATTTGTTTATGTAATGTTTATAATTACATACATAGTATACCAAATACAACATTTATTTTATTTTTTTAACTGAAGAATTTTAGTATTAATTTTTACAATATTATTTCAGAGCACCAGAATTAAAACCAATAATTAAAGATATATTAGAAGACTACCCAAATGATTCACCTAGTGGTGATAATAATGATAACAGTTCTAATGTTTTTGAAACAAATAATGAAGCCACAGGTAAAAATGATTTTAAGCTTTTAAGATATATATGTATATATATTAGAGATGGGTAACTCACTCCGTCGATACATTTTTCGTATTTAGATACATAAAATGGCTTTTAAAGTTCTGAAATCTGTTCAGGCGTTTTTGAGAAAACGTCGATCAAAGGTCTAATTTTGACAAATGCCAAAAAAACGCTACAAAGGGTACCTTGGTATTTAAATAATTCTGATGCCATTTTATAGGTATTTTTGAGAAAATTTGAAATACCAAATTTCAAATCCGTAGCTCATCATTTGGCCGAGATATCAGTGAAAACATGTGAAAGTGGCCCCTTTTTTCAAACTCACTTTTTGTCGGAAATATGAGAGATATCGAAAAACTGTTAACGTCATTCTATTTGTACTGATCTTGTCTATGTTGTTCATAACAAATAATGTGAAAAAATTATTTGTTAGTGCGTGAAAAGGTGAAAATGATTTTTCATTTTCCATTATCTACCAGTGCGGCTTTTTTGACTACTTTTATATTAGCATCATTCGAAAGCCTGTACATTTTTCTTCTATTATTCAAAAATTCATTTAAATCAAAGTGGAACTTTTGGAGAAAAGTTGGAAAAACTTAAGCTAGTACGCGCGCTGCCGGTACAAGAACGCCCATATAATGTAGCTTTGCAAGAGCGACGAGCAAGCATAAGGCTCGGCGCGTCTCGACAAATTATATATATAAGTATGGAAATATTTATTAAAAACCAAAATTTATATCTTGTATATAAGTATATTCATTAGTCATAATAAAAAATCCAACGCGCTGAATAAAACAATAATTATTATTATTGATTATTTTCATTCGATGTATAAGTTCTGACTAATAGTGATCCGTTTTTGAGAAAACGTCGATTTACTGTAAAAAATGTGTTTACACACACATACTTTTACCAAATTTGGTTTCATTCAATTCAGAATGGCTTGAAATTTCGAGAAAACATAAAATTAGCGAATCGGATTCTTTGATGAGAACATAAACTTTTCCTTCGGGAAGTTAATAAGAAACTAACAAGTTTCAATAACGAAACTCTCCAAATATTCATTATCCACATATACGAGAATTCATTATCTACTATACAAGAATTTGTATTAAGCATAATTAACTTCCCGTAGGTTAAATTATAGTAATCGCAAAAAAATCGAAAATGAAAATTTGTATATATATCTTTACGTTTCAAAGGTTTCTGAATATTTTGGCGTACCTTAGAAAAGTGGGTGTATGTGTGTGTGTGTGTGTGTGTGTGTGTGTGTGTGTGTGTGCGTGCGTGCGTGCGTGCGTGCGGATACAAATTTTCGTCGACGATTTCGGGAGCACCGATAAACCGATTTGAATAATTCAAAAAACGTTCGATTCGTATCTATAGGGAGACGTGCTGATTAGTTTTTGGCGAAAGCAGGTTTAGCCGTTCCGTAGATACGGGGCAAAAAGTGCCAAAAACGGTAACTCAGTTTTTAAGAGAACGGAGCGTCCGATTTTAATAATTCAACAAACATTTTACTTGCATTGACAAGATGAACAACTGATTAAATTTTTGGGAAGGCAGGTCTAGCAGTTTCGGAGATCTAGTAATAAAAGTAAAAAAAATGCCATTTGGCGGTCAAAAATGATCATTAGACATATGCACATCAAATTATCAGATATTTTATGGAGATTTTAATAATGTGTATCAATTTTGGTTGCATTTCTATGGGTTCCGTAACGTCGTTTGTCCGATAGACGGCGACGCGGCGCTTACGCGCTTCGATATTTCGTCTTTATGCAGCTAAAGCAGTGCGATTGCTTTAAAAAATAGTTCAAAATTTCCAAAATATTTCAAAATAAAAAAAACATTTTTTTTGCCAAGTTTTTTTTCCAAAAATTCAATTTTTTTCAAAATTTAAAAATTCTCTGAAAAAAAGTTTAAAGAAAAAATTTAATATTTTTTCAAAAAAATAATTTCTGGTACGGAAAGTTCCAACAATTTGCCTTAAGGCACGATGCCATGCACCCCACTAGTTGTTCTTGGGGTTCCACTGTGGATGTATATATGTATGTACATATAATATATATACTACCCTTGCAATGAATAGTATATGCGGCAAAATGCCGAATAAGACCGCATACCGAATATTAGGCAACTACTTACATATATTAGAAAATAAAAGAATCATAATCAAAATGCATAAGAGGGAGATTAAAAATTAATTTCTCTGCATTTTTAGGAAGTAGGTTATTTGTTACCAGCTTCGGAGAAAAGGCATTATGAATACATACATATGAGTACATACTGGCACCGATAAATATTTTTGCCGCAATTTTGATCAAATATAACTGAATAGAACTGAAGTTCCCTAGCTTGTCAAACTTCATGGATTGTCATGATAAGATATATCACTAAATCTTAAGAAAAGAGATGGTAGATTGTTTATAGACAAATACCCATCAATTGTGTGTTTATCGATTGATTCCAATTAAAAATAACAAATATGTAACAATAACATATTGTTTGGAGAATATTCAGAAAGGCGTTTTCGATGTGTTAATTTATAATCTCAAAAGTCGGTAAAGTTTACTATATTATATACACAATCAAGAATTTATCTGTTATCATATGTTATCTAAAAATCAAGATCCATCGCAAGATCTTTATCGCATAAAACACAAATGAATGCCGCTAACCGCTGCGGCGCCTTCTATTTTAACTATTCGGTATTCGGCCGAATATCAAAAAAGGTGACGGATACCGAAGAGTATATTCAGTGCAAGCCTAATATATTATTAGATGTATATGTTTCTTGTATATGTTTAAAGTTGTCGAGTGCCAATTAATCAATATTCAATTACTACTTATTTTTTGCAGATATTGACTTTTCTAATAAGTCACCCACCGCCGAAGATTTTTTTGGCATACAAGAACTGGCAGAAGAATGTAGTGATACACTGGTAATTTTTGTTTGTTTGTAATTTCATTCAATTTTTTGTCATGTTATTGAATTTAATTAAACATTAAAATTTGATATCTATGTTAATATTAAAGTTATTACAAAATATCTTTGAAAACTCTGTGAACTCTTTAAGGGTTGTTTATTTTGTTTATTATTTTTATTGATACTAATGAGTTATATCTATAATAGATATTTAAAACTCTAATGAAACTGATGTTTTATTTTTCATAGAAGTAAACTTTATGTTTTGTAGTTGTTTAATTTGTATATTTTCATCACATTTTTTTGAAATTAGGTTCAAGTTAAAAAGAAATCCGATGATGAAATATGTATGTCCATTGAGGATAAGGAAGAAAATATATTGAATATATATTTGTTTGAAATTGTTAAATTTAACATGAGTTACAGGTTAAAAAGAAATCTGATGATGAGATGTCCATTGAGGATATAGAAGAGAATATATCAGAAAAGACATATATTAACAATATTAATTCAAATATTGGTATTATTTCCGGGCATGATAGAAATGATACTAATCAAGGAAATAGTGCATCAAATGCCAACGATAACATACTTATGCCTCCTCCTGGTCAAAAGAGTTCTGAAGGAAAAGACAATAGGTATTTTAATGATAAATTTATACAAACACACACACACATACGCATATATATATATATATATATATATATATATTAATTGTTTAATATGAAAAACAAAATTATGATTACAGACGTTTCGAGACTATGGTGTGTCTCATCTTCAGTGTAATTTCAAAAACAGTTACTTATATACTACACATTCTTTAATAACTTATTTAAATTTCATTTAATTTTTGATATACAAAAAACACCAACTATTCCTTGCAATGCTTGACACAGTACTAAAGAAACACATAACACTTACAGAAATATTCTAAACAAATTTGAAGTACTTAACTAGATGGAGACAGAATGGATATCATTATAATGTAAACAAAAGGAGTGCTATCGCATACAAAAAATTAAGTCCTGTTTTGGCGGATTTAGTATTACAAGATTTGGAAAATCATGTCTTAAATTCTTTACCTTCCAAACCTATGGTTTATTTCAGATATGTCGATGACACATTAATATTACTTAATAAAAAAGATATAGATAATGTTTTCAACAAATTCAATGAGTACAATTCTTTTTTACAATTCACTCAGGAACTTGAAAATGATTCGACGTTACATTTTCTTGACGCAAAACTCATTAATAGAGGTGGTGTATGTTATACAGACTGGTACAGAAAAGATAGTTGGTCCGGGAGATACATTAATTTTAATTCGCATGTTTCTCTCAATATAAAAATTTCTACCATTCTAAATCTTGTAGATCACGCTATTTTATTATCTGATCCTCTGTTTCATGATACAAACATAAAATTAGTTAAAACGATCCTACTTGGCAATAATTTTCCATATAAGTTAATTTGTCCAATTATTAAAAATAGAGTCGCAAAATTACTTGAACCTCTTGATAAGAAACCGGAAGAGCCTGGCAAAACAAGTGTTCCTGAAAAAACTTTTTTCATTAATTTTCCATATCTTGACAATAATTTTAACCAATTATCAAAAAGACTTTTCAAAAAACACAATATTCGTATTACTTTTTCTTCATTAAAACAATTAAAATTTTTATATTCCAAAATTAAAGATGAAACTCCATTAACAAAAAAGAAAGATATAGTTTATAAAGTAAATTGTTTGGATTGTAATTGCTCTTATATTGGCCAGACCTGCCAGAACTTAGCAACATGAATTACAATGTGAAAAAATAGATAACAAAAAATTTAAAAGTACACTTGTGGATCATACTAATATCAACAACCATAAGTTTGATTTTGACAATCCCCAAATTTTATTCCATGAGAAAGACTTATTTAAACGGAGCATGGCAGAATCAATGTTAATAGTTCGGACTAACAATAGCATAAATCTAAGAACCGACACAAATATTTTACATGACACTTATATAAACATCATTAATGATTTATAAAAATTTTTTTCATTTATCTTATTCTTTTCAATAAATTAATTTGTTTTTTCATTTTTATCGATTTTTTGTATGCGATAGCACTCCTTTTGTTTACATTATAATGATATCCATTCTGTCTCCATCTAGTTAAGTACTTCAAATTTGTTTAGAATATTTCTGTAAGTGTTATGTGTTTCTTTAGTACTGTGTCAAGCATTGCAAGGAATAGTTGGTGTTTTTTGTATATCAAAAATTAAATGAAATTTAAATAAGTTATTAAAGAATGTGTAGTATATAAGTAACTGTTTTTGAAATTACACTGAAGATGAGACACACCATAGTCTCGAAACGTCTGTAATCATAAAATAAAGTTGTGTTAAACAAATCTGAGTGCTGTTTTGTTCATATTAAACAATTAATATTCGTTCCACTCATATCATAAAATTCTAATATATATATATATATATATATATATATATATATATATATATATATATATATATAGTGAGGTTTTCTCAGATGGTGAAATATTATACTAAAGTTGTTCTTGGGCTGGGCGTTCATCCATTAATTGAAACTATTATATTGAAGTAAAATGTTTTATTGTCAAATGTTTTGGGTCCTGATTTGCTATCTTCAGTGCTCCATTAAAGGTTTTCATTAAAAGTTAAAAATACAAAAAAAATAGGAAGATATAAATAAAAATATGTGAATTAACTTAATAAATCGAAACAATATGGTAAAAAATTTGAATTCAAGACTAAAATATGTTGTTGTATATAAAGGTAAGACACATCTAAAATAATTGAAAATTATGCAATAACTCACCATACAAATAATTTGAAGAATGAACGTAAAACACGGAAAATATAATGCACCAATTACTATACAATTGTCAAAGTACGAATTTTAAAAACTTATTAAATTAAAATAAATATTAAATTAAAATAAAATAAATGAAAAGGTTTTTTAAAAAAAAGAACTCTTCTCTTCGAGACATGTTCTATGTTTGGAAAAAAATTCACTAGTTGAATTGTGTTTCTATGTAAAGATAAGGAAACTCGAAGAGCTGTTTCGTTATTGGTTGAAAGACTGAGATAGAAAAGTTTTAGTGGCGCTTTGGCCGGCGGTAAAATTACAAAGTAAGGATATGGAAAATATAGCTTTTGGATTTAAGCTGTAATCAGTAGGCAAACATTTTTTGTAATAAAATTTATTTTATTTTAATTTAATGATTTTTAAAATTCGTGCTTTGAAAAATGTATAGTAATTGGTGCATTATATTTTCCGTGTTTTTGGTTTTTTCTTCAAATTATTTGTATGGTGAGTTATTGCATATTTTTCAATTATTTCAGTTGTGTCTTACCTTTATATACAACATATTTTAGTCTAGTAATAAATTTTTTTGCCATATCATTTAGATTTATTAAGTTAATTCACATTTTTTATTTATATCTTTGTATTTTTATTATATTTTTAACTTTTAACTCTGTAATCCTTTAATGTAGCACTGGTCAAATCAGGATCCGAAACGTTTGACAATAAAACATTTTACTTCAATAAAATAGTTTCAATTAATGCATGAACGCCCAAGAACAACTTTATTATATATATATATATATATACATATATATATATATATATATTATATATATATATATATATATATATATATATATATATATATATATGATATGCAGTGGCGTCGGAAGCAAATTTTTGATGGGTGGGTTCGTTTTTTTTTTGATAGGTTCTTTTTTTTTAGACTTGTTAGGTCATATCACTTTTTGAGATTGATGGGCGGGCTCAAGCCCACACGTTTCCGACACCACTGTATATATATATATATATATATATATATATATATATATATATAACAGTGGTGTCGGTAACTCGAAGAACGAATCACAAATGTTTATATGTTTATCTATAAATAAGCGAAAACATAAACTGCTCCTTCGGAATGTTAAAAAACACACTAACAAACAACAGCAAGCTATTAGTAATTAGTAAACGTATAGACAACGTATTTATATTTCAATATACAATCGCATAAATACGAGCACTATAAATAAGTATTTACAATTTAGCTTTTTTCGCGGATTGTCATTTGGAAACATATCTCAATAAGTTTAATTTCAAAGTTAAACGTATCTTTGTTCTTAAGCCGGCTGCAGACGATACTGTATAATTGCGCAACCAGTGATTTGCGCATAGCAAACATGTCAACTGAAAAATGTGAAGACGGAACCTAAAAATATATCTTTTTTATTAATTTATGTATTCACAGCATCGGAAGATAATTAAAAAAGTTCAGATGGCTAATTTAAATACTTAAATGTTAATAACTTCATAAATTTGAATTATGTATTTGCTACAAAGTAAAACACAAACGAAACATGTGCTGCCCCGCGTCAACAGAATGAATTTGCCGACTTGAATGATTGTACATCTCACACACGCTATAGAATACTTGTGCAAGTCATTGTTTGCGCAAATAGAGTTACGTTGTGGCCGGATTTAGGGGAAGATGGATCGGAAATTAGTTAGGTATTAAATTTAAAAAGTATGTTTTATTTCTTGCAAAATAAAAACAAAACGAATATTCTTGAAAAAAAAACAAAATTCTAAGTCAGTCATATCTAGTTAGCCATCTGCGTTTTCATTGCCTTCAGTTCCTTCTACCTATTTGTGACAAATGCGTCTAATGTTGTTTGCCTTTTACTTTCCGTTGTTTTCTTAAATGTTCCTCATAAACGGATAAAGCATCTCTTACTTTCCAGCTCTTGTCAAAATTCGAATAATTTGCAAAGAACTGATCTATTATTTCAGTTATGATAGACAAACTTCTTTTTCCAAACGCCATTGAAAGTTTTTTTGTTTTCAACATTTTTGTTAATTTCTTTGAGTTCATCATTAGAAAGACTGCGTGCGCAGCTTCTTGATTTAATTCCTCAACATATTACACCTACATAATAATTTATTTTCATATATTTAGTTTGGCTGATGATGATACCATGAACAATTCTGACAGCAAGAAAAAATTAGAAACACCACTTGCTGCTATGCTACCTTCGAAATATGCAGGTGTTGATGTAACGGAACTGTTCCCAGATTTTAGGTCTGATAAAGTAAGTATTTAGTAGTATAGAAAGTATTCATAGATACTGCTATAACGAAATCATATTTTGTTCTAATTTTGCTTATCATTCTAGGTTTTACGCTTCTCCAGATTATTTGGCTTAGGAAAACCAAGCAGTTTGCCTCATATTTGGCGCAATGTACGAAGGAAACGTAAAAAACGAAAGTATAGAATAACTGATGACTATATCATTAAATGAAGGAATTCAAAACGAACACAAGTGGAAATTGTCATTTGCGCCGCCACCGACTGACCCAGAATTACTAGCCAGCGATGATGAGGTAAATAATTTTTTCTTTCGATATCTTATTTAAATTGTTTCTTGAGTTTTAATTATTTTCAGGATCATCTCTTGAAAGAGGTATCTGATGAAGCAACTATAAACAATGATGAGCAAGGTGATCAGAATGATTTAGGACCAAAAGCTGCTGACTGGCGCTTTGGCCCTGCTCAGTTGTGGTATGATATGTTAGAAGTTCCGGAATCAGGAGAAGGCTTTGACTATGGATTCAAGCTCAAAGAAAAAGAGCAACCCCAAACTGTAAATATTTGAAATCGCATTTATATATTCATAATTATTAGTGATGTGCCAAGTCGAATCAAGTGATTCGAATCATTCGAATCAAGCCTTTAACGACTTGATTTGAATCAGATTTTACTTGATTCGAATCAACTCGTATCAAGCCGCGAAATATTTACTGTGATAAAATATGTATTAACACAAATTTTTCATAAATATAAAATTTTTCATAATATAAATATAAAAAAAATGTTTTAATTAATTCAATATTATAATAATAAAAAATAAATATCATAAATATAAAAAATAAATAATGAATTAAATCATGCGAGCCACCCGACTTTAATATGCTTAAATGTATCAGCCGACTCCAATCGTCTTTATATGACTTTAACCGCATTCATCGACTAACTATATCATCCGACTTCATATGACTCAAACCGAATCAAGCGGCGATATGAGTTGTTTCGACTTCAATTCGGATTCGAATCATTCCGACTTCAAGCCGTTCGAGCGATATGAGTTCAAGCGATATGAGTTAACCGTATGGGCGATATCAAGCGACTTTGAAACAAATACAATGCGTCGTCGTTCTTGCGTGTTTATTTTTTACGGAGCGCTGAGAGCGATTTTGTTCGTGAAATATCAATACCCAATTTTGATAATAATTAAGTGTTTTAGATTTTAAATGTTATCAGAATAAACCACTCGAAATTATGAAACGAGTTTCGGGAATCTTTCAATATAATTCTCTTTTGAAACAAGTACTAAACACCAGAAAGTCAGTAAATAATATGTTAACTTCTGATTATGTAAGTAATGGCAAATTCACATTAATGAAATTAAGTTTCAGCTCTCAGTTTAGATGCGATCCTTTACTGATTACATCGTAAAATAAACAATCGACCCATGATTCCAAATATTATTTTATATGCTTTAGTGATGCACAATTGTTTGGTAATCTATTATTGTAAATTAATTTGAAGATATGTTTCAGCCGTCCTCAAAATATATCATTTTTAATAATTTTCAGAATATATAAATATATATTATAATTTTAGAATATAATATATATAAATTTGATAGTAATTTATGTTTACAATTTCTACTTTGTCGGTTACATTGGTTAAACTGACAATTTTGATTATAAATTTGGATTACTTTTACTAAATTAATACATCCATGACTTTTTTTTGGTCAATATATATACTTGATTCGAGTTGATTCGAATCAGGTTTTTTTCTGATTCGAATCATTCGAATCGGGAATTTTTCGAGTCGGCACATCACTAATAATTATATAATATTTAAGTAATCAACAAGTCATACCCAGTTAAAAGAAACTATTGAATCTTAATCTTTATAAACTTTTTGAAACACCAACGTAATAAAAAACCTCTTTATTTTTAAATGTAACTGATAGTTTTGCATTATATGTTCTACTTCCTTTTGAGTAAACTAGAGTTAAAGTATTATTCACTTTTAATTAAATAATATTGAATGAGAATAGTTAGTCATTATTTTTCTTTCAGGACGTTAATGAAGATAATGCTGATTCAACTATACCCGATGATGCATTTTTGATGGTGTCACAATTACGATGGGAGGATGATGTAGTATGGGATGGAAATGATATTAAGCACAAGGTAAAAAAATAATATATAAACGTTTTCATTTTGAAGACTATCTATTAAATTCTTTCATAAATTTTTATAATCTGTTTCAATCTTTTTTTCTATGTTTTGTGTTTTCTTGTATTTAATTACATTTACAAAATTATATAGTTATTACATATAGTATCTAATATTTATCAAAAACCACTTAAAATAGGTCTTACAAAAAGTTGAACTCCAAATCTAATGCTGCAGGATGGTTGCCGAGTAGTTGCAGTAGAACAGCTGGTGCTTTCAGTCAGCCTGGAGCAGCTAAAGGAATTCAGAATGTACAAAGGCCAGGAATTCTTGCCAATGCTTCTGTCAAGCAAAATAAGACGCCAATGTTAAATTAATAATATTTACATCATGGAATTCTGTAAGGTTATGACTATTCCATAAATATAATAAATATTATATATTATATTT